CAATGTGACCTGTGATCTTGGGTGCCTTTGTCACTGTAAGATAAGTGGAAGGGTGCCATGGGTTGGAGGGAGGGAGGGCACTGCTCTGGAGCCAGGCTGAGAGAGCTGGGCTGGGGCAGCCTGGAGAAGAGAAGGCTTCTGAAGGGGAGACCTGAGAGCAGCTCCAGTGCCTAAAGGGGCTGCAGGGAACCTGGAGAGGGGCTTGGGACAAGGGCCTGTAGGGACAGGCCAAGGGGAATGGCTTGAACCTGCCCAAGGGGAGACTGAGCTGAGCTCTTAGGCAGAAGCTCTTCCCTGTGAGGGTGCTGAGGCGCTGGCACAGGGTGCCCAGAGAAGCTGTGGCTGCCCCATCCCTGGCAGTGCTCAAGGCCAGGATCTTTAAGGTCCCTTCCAACCCAGAGCACTCTGTGAGGCTGTGATTCTATGGACCTGGTCAAGAAACACTTCAGGCTACAGGCACCAAACCTTATTTGACACCTTTCTATGACACACGGGTTACCCCATCTCTGTCCGTGCCATGGCTCCAGGTGGGAAAGCATGTTTCAGCCCTAGTTCTTGTGGGCAGTTGGGAAGTCCTGTCACGCTTGGCAGATTACAGTGGGATGAGGGATGGAAACAAGGACAAGCTCTGTTAGGAATGGGTTAGAGCACACTAGGAAGAACTTACTGTTCCTCCTAGGTAGCAGTTTAGAGGGGCTACTGCTGTTCCATCAAAAGCTGTTGTGTTTTGACAGGCAGTTCCCTGCTGCTACAATCGTGAATCCTAATGGCTTTTCATACTGACACTACCTGATTGCCATCTTAAAGGTCCTCTTAGACCCATGATGAACATTCAGACACTAGATGCTGCTCTCATTATTAACAGTGATGAGAATAACGACAGCCCTAAAAGACACTGGTAGTTCCCATTTCCCTGTAGCCCACTCAAGCCTTTTCCATGTGCTATAAGAACAAAAAGGAATGACCACAGCCGACAAGGGAGACGTGCACGTCATAAAAACAACATGGGACAATAGCAGCCATCAGCCCAAAGGCAGAGCTCTCATTCCTTCCCCTCCCATTGAGCTCCTCCACCCTCACAAGCTCCCAGCTCCCTCTTCAAAGAGACTCACGCAAGCCAAAACAATGTATGGCCCGCTTCCATTTGCTATAAAAGCCCGCAGACGTAGCCCAGACAACAATGCCAGGCTCCTGCCATGGCTCTGGGTGTCTTCAGGAGGATATTTGACCTCCCAGGATAGGACCGGCCGGAAAACCAGGGAGTGAGACTTCCTTTGCTTTAAAGCACAACAGGGCTTCACCCACCCCCATGTCCTTCAGCAGGGATTTGTGCTGCCCTCCTGCACATCAGATCTGGCCTGGGACAGTCACAGTGCCAGGCTTTACCCCCGACTCCTCTGAAGTCCCCAGGGCCAGGATCTGAGCCTGGCTTAGCTGCTCATGAGCAAGGCTTAGGTGACCCACGAAGAGACTGCCCTGCACCACCAAATGCTCCTGAACTGGATTTGATGGGGCGGAGGGAAAGGGCAGTCCCTGCACAGCCTCACCTCAAACAGCACAATTCACTTCTCCCCTCCCTTCCTGCGCTGCTGGGGAAGGAGCAGAAGCGGCTGCACCCTGCAGGGAGGCAGGAGGGACATCAAGAACCTGGGGACAGGATGTGTCCAGAGGCTGCCGACTGAGAGAGCTCTTTGGGGTGCCCCACAGGGAGCAGCAGCCACCCAGCCCCAGCCTCATCTCAGCTCTCAAGTCTTACCTTTGGTTCTGGCCGCAAGGACTCAGCCCTTTCCTCATCATCACAGAATGGTTTGGGCCAGGAGACACTTACAGCTCACAGCTGAACCAGGAACCTCTTGTCCAGGCTGCCCCAGCCCAGCTCTCTCAGGCTGGCTCCAGAGCAGAGCTGCTCCAGCCCTCGCAGCAGCTCCATGGCCTCCTCCAGCAGCTCCACATCCCCCTTGTGCTGCTGCCCCAGGGCTGGATCAGGACTGCAGGGGGGTGTCCCCAGAGTGCAGCAGGGGGCAGGATCACCCCTTCCCTTTCCTCCTCTTAAGTCCCGTTGTCTCTTAGGATCACCCCTTCCCTTTCCTCCTCTTAAGTCCCGTTGTCTCTTAGGATCACCCCTTCCCTTTCCTCCTCTTAAGTCCCGTTGTCTCTTAGGATCACCCCTTCCCTTTCCTCCTCTTAAGTCCCGTTGTCTCTTAGTTTACCAAAACCATTGCAAAGTCAGAACCCTGTCCCCTGGCCCCACGCTTCCAGCTGGGATTCAATCAATATCAATTAATTTCAAGTGAATTAGAACCTGTGTGTGAGGCTCTGCCCTGTTTTAACTTGGCCAGCATCACAGCACACCCTCATCTCCATCACTGAAAGCTGAACACAGCCCTGGCCCTCAGTGCACCAGGTGGAGGTAGGCAAAGGCTAAATAGTGGAAACAGCAGGAATATATAGGATGGAGCCCAGCAGGGAAGGACCTGCTGCCTTGGCCCTACACTCACTGCTCCCAGCTTCGTGCAGGCACCCTGGAAGGGAAGACAGGCTTCCAGTTCCAGTGGTGCTGGGTGACAGGAGAGGGGACACTGGGGTTCACTGTGCTCTAAGTGCCAAGATGGACGGGGGTCACTTGATGGGGGATGTCAGAAGGAGCCCCTCACTGCAAGGTCACTGGTGTTAATGCTGGGCCCAGCAGAAGACTTTTGCAGCACTGGGGACCACATAAGAGCCTTCTACTCTCTGTGTATGGTGGATGTTCCTCAAGCAGCACATTAACAGGGTCCAGTGGCCTTTCCACTAGCTGAGGTACACAGCAGCTTATCCTGCCTTCCTCTTGAGAGCCCAGCTTATCCTCACTGCTTCCTTATCAGCTATAGAGAGATAAAGAAGTGGCTCATTTTATGGCCAGTCCCGCTTCACCCTGCAGCTGAGCACCAACCCCTGCCACTGTCACAGGGGCTGCTCCTTTGGCAGCCAGCAGGGATCCTCTAAAAGCAGGAGGAGATGCCAACACTGCATTGTGGACAGAGCTGAAGGAGCAATAACCAGGGTGACCTGCACTGCATCCTGGGCTCCTCCTGCTGTGCCACACTGGGGCCTGGGAGCCAGCTCGGTGCCATTCACCTGCTGGCATCACCTGGATTTCAGTCCATTAAGGACACAGCCCTGGGGCAGTAAGTGAAAGGGAGCCAGGAATGTTCCATTAACAGGCAGAAACATTCCCAGGTAGGATCCTGAGCCCTGGCACCGAGGGGATTGGATGGGGCAGGGTAAACAGACCGGGGCTGGCTTTATGAGAGCCCGTTCCCTTCTCCAGGTATCTTATGCTAATGGCCACAGAGATCTGGGAGATAGGAAGGGGAGGAGGAGTGTAAAAGGAAACCAGCAGACAGCTATTAACAGAGGGAAAATTCACAGGTCCCAGGCTTGGGCCCAGGGACGGGTTTCATTACACTGCCAGGGGCTGGCAGAACACCAAGTCTCTGCTCTGCCGTGTGTCTGGGTCTGGGTGTGTGTGCGCACAGACTCCGGTATCAAGCACGAGATGGAAAGGGGAGATTTTAACACGGGAGCAAAATCCATGCCAGGGCAATTGCTGACAGTGTCCCAGTGCTGTCACAGGAGGGTTTCTGTGACACGGAGGAGGGTGGAAGCCCCAAACCACCCTTCTTTGGGGTGTGTGGCAGTGCAGAACTGTCAGCAGGGTACAACACGCGTGAGCCGTGTGCTTCACCTGCACATCCCTCTGAGCAACAGCGTTGTTCAGGACACAGAAACCCAGAGTCTGCCCTCATCTCGGGGTGAAACACACAGCAAAACACCCCATATGACTGCTTCCGATGGGAGGAATAGGAGCGGATGGGTAAGGAACCCAGGGCAGCTCTGCTGACAGTCCAACAGGCCCTGCCCCAGAGTCAGCCTCCAGAGGGGAAATCCCAGGTGCCAGGGATGGCTCCAAAGTATTCCCTGAGGATTTCACATGCTTCAGCCTAAACTCCATCAGGAAAACCCCATAGGCAAGCACTTCAAAGGTGCCCTCACAGGGAATCCCACTCAAGACACTGATTTCTTCCTTCAGGCCAGCAATGAGTGCTCTAAAGCCACACCTTTGGATTCTGACCACCTTATGGTGAGCAGGGTCTGACCCCAGCCCATGGCAGGAGCCTCCTGAGCTTCTCAAAGAGGATAAAAACACCTGAAGGCTTTGTCTTGGCTTTGCTTCAGCTCCTGCACTGGAGCAGGGGTGAATGTCTTGGATGCTAATACAAAGCATCCTGAGGTTTGGTTATACCTTGTTTTATACCTTGTTTGCCCTTTACCTTTTCCCTCCCCTTGAAGCTGTGCTCTCCGAGCAGTGCCTGCATCTCTCTCAGATCTTCTCTCATGGTATTTGTAATCCTCATCTGAAAGAGGAGGGAAATAACCTGCCTGTTTCTCACCAAGCACTCAGCCATCCCAGTGAGCTCCTCTCCATCCTCACGTGCCAGTGGGGCAGCATCCGCAGTTATCTCACTATTCCCTATATGGCAATGCCCTGGGAAGGATGCTTTAGCTGGTCTAGAGCTTGACATTGCCATGTAACAGATAATGGCACTACAGGCATGAAAAGTGACCCAGGACACTTAACAGCACACAGCCACAGGGGTCTGTGTGTGTGTTAATGGCCTCTGACAGGCCATGAAGGCAAAAGCCACATTCACCCCCCATCCATCCCTGCTGGACCGCAGGCAGGGCTGCTTCACTAGGGAAAGAAATGCTGGAATGCAACAGAGTTGGGATGTGCCTGGGAGGGATGGGCAACAGGGGAGAGGTGGGTACAGGGTTGGGAAAGGCATCCTCAGAGCTGTGAGAGGTGTCTGAGCCACAGGGCAGAGCAAGGAAGCCCCATGGTGCTCACTTCACTGCTTGGAGAGCCCAGATGAAGGTGGGAAGGGCAGCACTCACATGGATGCATCATCTGATGGTGTCTTCTAACACTAACCCTGTCTCTTCTGCTTCTACTGCAGTTGCCTGTCCTGTGAAGCGACATGAGTCTCAAGGGATCCCTCAGCAGCAACCCTGGCTCTTCAAAGTAAGGATCTCCATGGTGGGCTTCCTCCCTCCTGGCACCTCTCCTCCTTCCTACTAAAGAGGGGGATGCTCCCAGTGCTCCCACTGCTCCCAGGCCCCTGCTGCTTGTTTCACCCTTCCTGGGCACCTCACAAGCTGTGCCCATAGCCAGAATCACTGCCTCCCGTGTCCTGCACGCTGGTTATGGCCCATTGGGTGGAGGGAAGAGAGGGACCCCAGGAACCTCTCCACCTGCAGCTTGGGCGCTTCAGCAGCTTCCCAATGGAGCCGGATGCCCCAGCTCTCCCTCCCTCCTGCATGCTCCTGCTCTCTGGAGCACCAGAAGTGTGAGCACCACGAAGCACTGCCTGCCCTCAGGGGGACACAGGGACAATGCAGAGAGTGCCACTGGCTCCCTGCACCGGGCAGGACAGTGCCTGGAACCCTGAGGTCCTGCTCTGATCCTCCCCTGCCAGGCCTGGGCTGCAGAAAACACTGTTCCTGCCTGGCTGGGCACTGCTGGGCACAACACAGGCATGGGGGGGGGCTACAGGGAATACAACCCCTGCTTGGAGACCTGACACCCCAAAAGTCGAGTGTGTGCACACAGCTATGGCTTGAACCTGCCCGAGGGGAGACTGAGCTGAGCTCTTAGGCAGAAGCTCTTCCCTGTGAGGGTGCTGAGGCGCTGGCACAGGGTGCCCAGAGGAGCTGTGGCTGCCCCATCCCTGGCAGTGCTCAAGGCCAGGTTGGACACAGGGGCTTGGAGCAAGCTGCTCCAGTGGAAGGGGTTGGGGTTGGAGCTGGAGGAGCTTTCAGGTCCCTTCCAACCCAAACCATTCTGGGGTTCTGTGAATTCGCCCTTCCACATTTTTACATTGGATATGTTCTGTGTTTGAGCCCTGCCTTCAAGAAGCACATCTCAGAAGGGTCCATTAACAAGGGATCTTCATCTTGGTCCTTACACAAGGTTCAGGTAGGCTCAGGTACAGGGTGGAGGGGTCTCCATTTACCTGCCCTGCTCCCTCTAAGAACCCTGCTTACCACACACTGGGAGCCCCTGTCCCTAAAACAGCCCCTCCAGAAGCAACGTCCTTCCAGGGGACACTGTGTGAAGGTAACTCCAGTGGGGACAGGCACCTATGGGCTCCTCTGCCTCCTGTTCCCAGCTGCTGGGCTCAGTGATGTGCCGTGGGGTGGGTATCAGTGAGGGTTGCAGAGGGAGCTGCTGGCACAGGCAGCCAAGCACAGGCTTTGCCTGGTGATTTGGAGTCATGGAATGGGTTGTGTTGGAAGGGACCTTAAAGCTCCTCCAGCTCCAACCCCTGCCATGAGCAGGGACACCTTCCACTAGAGCAGCTTGCTCCAAGCCCCATCCAACCTGACTGTCATACCGTGTGTCACAGATGTGATTAGGGGGTAGGGTTCATCCCATTCATGACAGCAGCAGTGCTGACGTGCTGTGAGCTGCAGTGGGAGAGGAGATGTTAACAAGATCCAGGAGCTGATGGTTTCTTTGTACCTTTGTGTTTTACAGTGGCAGCATGGGCAGAGCAGACGGAGCCTCCAAGCTGAGTGCAAAGGATCTGTATGGTAAGTTGTGTCCATGAACTCACCTAAAGCTTCAGTTGGAGCAAGCTGCTCCAGTGGAAGGTGTCCCTGTCCATGGCAGGGGTTGGGACTGGATGAGCTTTAAGCTCCCTTCCAACCCAAACCAGGCTGGGATTCTAAGGCAAAAGCAGCTCTGAGGATCTGGACGTGGCTTTTGGGATGTTTTAGACTGGAATTCAATCAGAGCCACGTGATTCCAGCCCTCCATACACCACAGGCTGGCCTGATGTGGCAGCAAGTGCCACCACCTCCCGTGCTGGGCCCAGCTGTGAAGCTGTGAGGGCAAGCTGTGCATTGCTTCCCCTCACCCAGACCCTTTGCAGTGTGTTCCTGAGATACCCTGATAAAGGCCTAACAGAAAGAGACTGTCCTCAGCAGGTTAATGATTATCCTCCTGGAACTACTCGGTGATCCATGACAACTCCAGTGCCCTTTGGCTCTCTGGAGGCAGAGGGGATTGGAAGGATGGTGCTTGGGTATAAAGCACCCCAGCTCCACAGCAGGCAGGGAGGCACTGGGTGAAGAGCTGCAGAGAACATGTAGGTGTCACTACCAGGTAGTCCTGATCTCTGTGGGTCCCTTAATGCATCCCAGGTGAAAACTTGGCCTGGGGAGTGAGCAGAGCAAGGAGAAAGTTGTCACCTCCCTCAGTCACCGCCTGGATAAGAAGATGGGGGAGCACCTTTTGTGGTCTCCAAAGTGTCCCACCTCAGAGCTATCAATGTGCCTGGGTGATGGTTCCAATGGGTACAAACCATCTGCCCATGCCCCTCATTGCAGAGCTGGTATTTGATGAGAAGCCTCCCTTTGCAGACCCCATGTGAGGGTGTTTGTCCCTGGGGAGTGCCTTTGGTGCTGAAGGGTCAGTGTGGAGTGGGCTGGGGCAGTGCCCCACAGTGACTTACAGTGCCTGGGGATGGGTGGTCGCTGGTGGCAAGGTGGAGGCTGTGCTTGGTGGATGCAGTGCTGAAGCCATCGATAACTCTGGTTAGCTGCAAAGCAGTGAAACAAGGGAACAAAGTAGAACAGAACCTGCTGTTACTGCCTTGGGGCCTGCATGGTGCACGATGGACCAGTGCCAAGTGGGTGTTTGATCTGTGTCAGTCACTTGCCTGGAGCCTAAAGGATGCAGGATGAGCCCAGAAAGAAGCAACAGGAGGAGGTGAGGAAGTGCTTGGGTGCTGCCTCACTGTGCACACAGCTCATCCTGCCTCTAATGGCATCACTCCTTTCACTGGGCACCAAAGGCTCCTGCAGACCTGATCGGGACAGAAAGATCCCTGTGAGGTGAGCAGAGCCCACAGACACGTGTAGAAATGAATCAGAGACCCAGGAACTGTGCTGGAAGCACAGCCCAGAGGCAGGTTGGTACCCGAGGGCAAAGGCAGCCCATGGTTTGGGGCTGTCAGGGTCTCAGGGTGGGATCTAATGGGCAGCACAAGCAAGGACCAGGCCACAGCACCTCCTGCACCACCAAAGCCAGTGGAGGGAAAGGCTGAAACTGCCTTTAAAACAAACAGAGTTGCTCAAAGAAGCCATTTTCAGTACTGAGTTACAGGTTTTACAGGGCTTTTTTTACCCACAGACACACCCCAAAAGCAAATTTTACCAGGGATGGGACCTCTGGGACCAAATTCCAGCAAAGCAGTCCTCAGGAGGAGTAAATCCATTAGTTCCCTGCAGCAGCCTGAGGCCAGCAGTGATTTTGGTTAGATATAAGGCCCAAACCAGCCTGGGATGCTCTGATTTACTGCACACAGCAGTTGGCTGGCTCAGCCCAGCACCACATGAACACATCCTGTGCATCCTCAGGGCTTTTCCTTGGCAGGACTTTAAACCGACCCTCTGTTTCCAGCTGCTGTCAAAGGACACTCAGCATGTGTTAAACCAGCATTTAAACACCTGGGTCCCCTTGGTACTCACATCTTCCCACCCCCAGCATCCGTTGCTGCTGTGAGCTGGCACATACAGGGATGGAGAGCAGGCCAGAACTGAAATTCCAGGGAGAATTATGTTTCATGATGAAAACAAATCACATCAAGCTGAGCTGGCCTTGGTTCTGGGATCACGATGCTGCCAGGGGACAACTTGGGGCTTACACCATTGATATTCCCATTTCCTCCAGTGTCATCAGGCTGCACCCTCAGGCTGTGCACACTGCCAGGCCTGCAAGGAAGTGAGCACACTGATTCCCAGATTCACATAGGTACTGCATTGGATGCTCCCTGGATAACATACACGATGCTCCAGTGCACATAGAGGGCTTAATATTATTTCTATGGGAGTGAGGTCTTGGGTTGAAGTTTCAGCCTGGACAAGAGAAGGCTCCTGAAGGGGAGACCTGAGAATGGCTCCAGTGCCTAAAGAGGCTGCAGGGAACCTGGAGAGGGGCTTGGGACAAGGGCCTGTAGGGACAGGCCAAGGGGAATGGCTTGAACCTGCCCGAGGGGAGACTGAGCTGAGCTCTTAGGCAGAAGCTCTTCCCTGTGAGGGTGCTGAGGCGCTGGCACAGGGTGCCCAGAGAAGCTGTTATGAATTGGATGTTCTTTAAGGTCCCTTCCAACCCAAACCAGTCTGGCTCTGTGATGAACCCAAGCTGGTTTTACGGTTCTGGCTTCATCTGTCACTGGCTTAACCTGGTTTGAAGCTATCCCAAGTTCTCTTTCTGGTTTTGCTCTTCATAATTCCCACCCTTAGGATGAAGAACCTCGGGACATTGTGAGGGACAGACATCAGGGACTGCAGTGATAGGACAAGGGGTAATGGGTTCAAACTGGAACAGGGGGAGTTTAGATTGGATCTAAGGAAGAAGTTCTTTCCTGTGAGGGTGGTGAGGCACTGGAATGGGTTGTCCAAGGAGGTTGTGAATGCTCCATCCCTGGCAGTGCTCAAGGCCAGGTTGGACACAGGGGCTTGGAGCAAGCTGCTCCAGTGGAAGGGGTCCCTGCCTGTGGCAGGGGTTGGAGCTGGAGGAGCTTTAAGGTCCCTTCATCCCAAACCATTCCATGATTCCATAGTATCTTCCCCGTCTCTCTACCTGCCAGCGCTGATACCCCTTTAGGTGCTCAGCTGTCCTCACTGGTGTTCCTGCCTGTCACACTTGTCCTTTCCTCCTGCCTTAACAAAGCAGCATCCCATTTGCTCAGCTCCCCATTCTGGAAGAGTCTGCACAGAGCACGCCCCAGCTCTGCTGAGGAATGGCTGGGACTATCAAGTTGCCACCTTACTCAATGCACAGCCACCAGCTGAATTAATGGTAATGAATACCATCAATAAATTAAGCTACTTCTCCACTTACTGGCATCTGTTGTGCACCCAGATGAAAGCCCATGGAGGGGGGGAAACAGGGTGGCTCTGGAAGAAGCTAAGGAAAGGCTGGAAGGAAGCGTTTCTGCTTCCCATGGCAGGCCTCTGCCACCCCTGCCTGGGGGTGACACCCGGGTGGACTTTGCAGGTGACCACCTAAGCATGATGCTATGGTTGATCAGACAGCACTGCCTCTGGTGAGGGACTGTGCAGTGTAGCCATGACTTTGATGCTGACAGTGGGTTTCTCATAGGGCTGTAGGATGGAAATGGCTCTGCAGCAGCATTCAGAGCATCCCATTCCTGTTTGGCTGCTGCTGTCCCTGTGTGCTCAGCTGCTTCCCCAGCACCCCTGGCCAACTCCTCGGGTATCTTTGCCTCTCAGTTCAAGTGCTAGGGCACAGAAGTGCCCGGCAGATCCAAAACCAGGGCCACAGAACTGAGCATGGGGACATGGAGGGGCACTGCAGAGCTGGGACCCAGTGATCCAGCCAGTTGGCTCCAACCTGCCCACCCCATCCTCAATACACTCAGTTGTGGGAAAGAGTGAAACCCGTCAGGATGCAGGGCTGGCAGAGGGATGCTGGAGCAAGAGCAGCAGTGCTGACCAGCCCACGAGGCACTATCGCTTGACACTGCACCTCCATGTAACCCAAGCCAGGCTCCTGGGCTGTAACAGGACACGGGGCACTAACACAAAGAGAAGAGCCATTCCTGCTGCCCAGTGTGGTCCTGGGCAGGTATCAGCTGCCTGGGGAGCTGCAGGGACAGAGATGCACTGGTGCTGCAGCCATGGGCTGCCAGGTGTTAGGCAGAGGCCACTGGGCCTGGCTGGGCAGAACACGCTGACAGAGGAGGAGTAAATGATGTTTAATGGTCACAAACCAGCTCGTGGGGTCTTTCAGACCTCCCTCATCTCCAAACAGGGCTTTCAGCCTCCAGGTACAGGGGCACGTGTCCAAGGTGGGGTCCCTGCTGCGAGATACCCATCACAGACTTGGGGCACCTCAAGAATCACCCCAAAAGCAGACAGGAACACTGACTCAACACTGTTGCTTTCCCTAGAGCTGCATTTACTGGGGATGGCTCAGCCTGAGGACCAACAGAAGGGGCATCAGTTACTCGGTTACTGCCTGCCCAAAGCCTGAGCTTGGCCATTATCCCAGCTGGAGCCCACAGGGGAGCACTGAGGTGCTGCTCCTTCCCCACAGCCCTCTGGCAGAGGGTTTGGGCATGGATTTAACCCACACTGGCACTGCCTGCAAGACACAACCCCAGCAGGATGGTGGCTGGAAACTGAGCTTCCTACAGCTACCTGGTTGCATAGGAGAGGACCATGCCCGTGCCTAAACCCAAGGGGATGTGGGCAGCATCCAGTGACAAGTGTGTCCCTCAGACCCACATGTATCCCCTGGGTCTGTTGGCAGAAGCTGAAGCTGGAAAGCACTGCCCTCACAGAGGTGATTCCTGAGGTTCCAAGCACGGTGCAAGGCTGGTGGTTGGGTTGAGGTACATCTGACTCAGGAGATACCAGGCCTCTAGTGCTATCAACCCACAGGAGACCCAGCAGAGCCCAAGACTGCTTGCCATGGAGAGGAGGAACCACTTCCCTTGGGCTGCCCTGCAGATTCCCTTTGGGCAATGACAGGGGGATTGAGGGACCTGGTGCTGATGGCA